GGCAGGAATTAGCCTGGTGTGAAGGAGTTGTAACAGCCCAAGGAAGACATGCTACAGGCCTGAATGAGGGCAGCAGTAGTAGGAGTAGAGTGAAGAGGGGATGAAATTGAGCTAAATGATAAAGTAGGCAGGAGATGGTGACTAGATGTGAGGGAGTGGAAGAAATCCAAGTTGATTCCTTGGTTTCTGGGTTCATTTATGAAAAAATAACTGCAGGAAACACCTTTGAACAATGGAGATGAATTCAGATTTGGACACATTTTGAGTTCAAGATGTCTGTAGGACATTTAGGTGGAGATGTCCGGCAATCAGTTGGGTATGAATATGAAGATCGAGGGAGTGGTCAGGACTGGAGAATAAAGATTGGCAAGTCATCTGCAAACATATATATCCCCAAGGTAAAGTGGATGTGCCACAGTCACCCGGGGAGCACACATAGCCGTGGTTCTCCGTTCAACCCTGCAACACCAGATTATGAGTGGTTAGGGGAAAAGATGAGAAGATGGTGTAAAAAGACCAGGCAGGGTTCTGCTCTGCTGTACATAGGGTTGCTAGGAGTCAGAATCACCTGGATGGCACTAACAACGAAGTGGAAAAGAAGCTCAAGACTGAAAGGTCAAGGAACTGGAAGCAAAACCAGAAGAGAATGATGTCTCAGAATCCAAGAGAGCTTCAAGCAGGGAACAGCTAATAGGATGCGTATAAGATAACGCATGTGAAAGAGCTCTGTAAAGAAGCCATCATAGGAAATACACTTGTTAGCTGTTTTAAGCAGACACACTTTAATCACAGCAAGTCCTTCTGATTTGAGACTCCCATCTGTACAGAGGAAAACCAAGATTTGGGCACCACCAAATGAGACTCATTCCCTGACATCCCCAAGCCATCAGAGGATCATGCTAGCAGGCACTTGTCATAACAGTTATCATATGATTTCTCCTCCTTGAATTTTATCCTATTCATTCTTCCCCTCCCGAGTCAGTGTAAGCAGTCCTGAGATGCAAGACCTTCTTATCCTGATACAGTCTTATGGTCCCCCACGGAGGTCAACCTCTTGGAGAAAAACGTATACTTTTGGCTTGTTCCTCATGCGCCTTTCCATGGTGCTCTCCATTTGCGGAAGATTTGCCCTGAGCTAACATCCATGCCAACCTTCCTCCATTTTTTTAGTATGTGGGCCACCAGCACAGCATGGCCGCTAACAGAGCAGTGTAGGTCTGCGCCCAGAACCCAACCGGGCCTCCAAAGAAGAGTGGGCTGAATGTGACCACTAGGCCACTGCAGCTGGCCCTCCATGGCACTCTTAAAGCTGGTCTGCAGCAGACGGGACAGTGTCCAAGTGATAAAGGGGAACTTCAGATTACATCTTTACATAAAAATAATGGCGGCTCTGCTGCCAGACTGGCCAATGTAAGCTTTTAAACCCATAACAGAGTTTTATCTTGGTTCCAAACAAGTCACAAGCCATGGGTGTGTCTGTGGCTGAAGAGCAGAAAGGAGCCTCCTGCTGCAGCAGGAGTGCACAACTTGACCGGCCAGGTGGGAGCTTGGCATGGGCACAAAAAAGTTTTGAAAAACATTTTAATATAATTTATTTAAAAAATAAAGGAAAATCACAAGTCTTGGAGTTTCATATTGTTTTTGTTTCCCATAACAAACCGGAGGAGGACACCATAAACTTCCGTTGTCGAGGTTTTAAAGGTCTTACCTACTTCTGGCCACAGGTCTTCTTCCGAGCCTGGCCCGGGCAGAGTGGCCTCGCGCGCAGGGGCCGCCCGGCTCCCTAACCAGGGCCCAGGGCTCGGGGCGTGCGCCCGCCCTGGTGACCTCGGGTGGAGACGACGGCGCGGGGCGAGGCCGAGCCTGGAAGGACCCGGCCCACAGTTCGAGGGGGTTCGGGGGTCGGAGCCCGCAGCCCCACGCCCAGCCCCGCCCAGCTGCGCCACTGCCCTGGTTTCCGACGGAGAAACGGGGAGCGCCGCTCCTCCCAAACACCCCGAATTCCGCAGGCCGCGCCCTCCGTTCCCTCAGGAACCTGGACCTCCTTGACTTACCATGTGGTTACCTCTGATAAATCACCGTAACTGAAAATATCCTAAACTGAAAATGCATTTAATACGCCTAGCAGCCCGGACATCCCATCTTAGCCTCCCCTACCTTAATCTGCTCAGAGCCCTGACGTGTCTACAGCGGGGCAGTCATCGCTCGCAAAGCCTATTTTAGTATAAAATGCCAAGTATCTCATGTAATTCATTGAATACTGTACTGACAATGAAACACAGAGTGGCTGTCAGTGTGTCACTCATTCACCCTCGTGGTGACCTCGGTGATGTGGGCTGCTCCTGCCCAGCATCAGGGGACAGCTTGGCGTGTGCTGCATCCTGCTGGTCCAGGGAGAGAGCAGCATTCAAATTCCAGGTGCAACTTCTCTGAGCGCCGCAGGCCTCGGCACCATCGTCAGGACATCTGTCTTTTTCCTAGAGGTCTAAATTATGAACTTTAAAAAGCAGGGCCTGGTTGGAACTTTGACATTTTGTGTCCAATTTTGGTGTGAAGTTTTGTCTTCTTGGGCTGAAGGGGCCGCACTCTTCCCCAAGTCTGACAGCTGACTTTTGAAGAAACCTTACCTTGTGGTTTGTGCTGTTCAAGGAGAAGGAGGCTCTGCAGGCACCTGGAAGTGTGCCAGGTAACAGACTCCATTTCCTCTTTCTCTGACACGAGCAGCCTCAGGGAAATGGCTTCTCCTTGACAAATAGAAATGGCAAGCAATAGGATATATTGGAGTATATGAGGAAGCCATTTGGTGTAAACCTAATTCGGCCTGACTTTGTTTTCCCAAAAGGGCCTGACTGTGGCCGTTGAGCACACATTGTATATCTGCTTTAAAACATTTACTATGGCAAGAACAAATGGCCTGAAGATAAAGGTGCAACTTCCACCCACATTAGCATTTCCTTAGGGATAAGCATCTTTCCTTAGGCTAGGAACTGACTGCTGCACTCACCTTTGACCACCCAGCTCAGAGACAACAGACCTGCCACCCTGCTGTGTCCACTGAGACAGCAGACCTCCCTGCTGTGTCCATCAATCGCCGTGTCAACAGAGCAGTCTTGTGACTATTGTAAAAGGGACATTTCAATCATATGTGAAACATCCTGTTTGGGGGTATATAACCACTCTGTGCACCCCACTTCTTTGGTGCTCTTTCTTCCTTCGGGAAGAAAGGCCCCGGGCCATGGTCCTCAGTTTTTAGCTCAGAATAAACTCTCCCAAGTTTTCATTTATAGACTGGTTATGGATTATTTTCATCGACATCTGGTAGTGGGAACCCACAGTGAGCAGAACTGCTCTGTGACTCACCTGCAGTATTGTGTGACTTCTGAGACTGGGGTCTCCTCTCCGCCCTCGCAGTCCGTTTGTGAAGCAGTGAATGGACCCAGTGCACCACCAGAAGGCTCTAACTCAGAGGCTCCTAGGGTTTTCCTCCTGACCAGCACTTTCCTTCCTTCCTGTAGTACCCCATGTCCATTTTGAAAGAGCATCCTGCTGTGATCAGCTGATCCTTTTAAAAATCATGCTCTTACTTGGTGGTGACTTTGCTAAAGAGGTCAGGGGCCGCACCTGAGACCTGGCTGTGCACCTCTCTCAGCTGCATAATTCTCCTTCATTCTAAACAAAGCAGCCCGTAGTTTTGACAAACTCAGAGACACAGCCCACACCATATAAAGTTAGCTTGTGATGACAGACCCTTTTTGAAAAGGAGGGAGAGACTGCAAACACAGGAGAGGTGACCCAAAGATTACTGTGTGTTCAATTGTCAGGGAAACGTCTCTTTCCTACCACCTTGCCCTACCTTATCTAGCTTAATGTGTGTATTGGTGATGTGTCTGTGGGTGACTTTGCCCTGGGATCTACCTAGAATAAGCACAGTTTGAAGCTTGGCGTGCTTGAAGAGAAGTGCCAAATTCACGTTGTCTTGTCAAGTTCATGTGACCCAATGTAGCGGTCCAGGGCTGGGACTTTGGCGTCAGACCAGGCTGTGACTCTTGGCTCTGCTGTTTACTGGCTGGGTAGTCGGGAACAAGCTATTTAACCTCATTTTCTTGGTGAAATAGTAGGCCTGACTTCATCGGGTGTTAGGACTACATGAGATAATTCATGGAAAGGGCTCCATTTGCCTCCTGATATTTGGAGAACAAATGGTGGCTGTTAATATTTCGGGCACCCTGGTGACCCCACGGCAACTTACTCCCAGTTCTCCAGGGAAGGCACACAGAGCTCAGAATGTTGATTGAGGAAGGTGGCAAAATTTCCCCAAATGTGGTTCTTTACTCTGGTGGGAAATATATCACCCCAAGGCAGGTAGGGAGTTGCCCCACTGTGGACCAAATATGCCTGAAGCTTGAGGTGTCTGTATTTTCAGAGCAGAAACAAGAAACTGTTGAACCTTGCTGTAAGGAAAGCATTGCATCATGCTGAGTGGCTTGGAAGATAAAAGCCCAAGTGAAAGGGATTTGAGGGTGAGGAGAACAGGGGTGTAATGGAATTCATCTTGGACAGCAGGGACGAGCTCTTGAAAAGAAGTGCATTAAAAATTTTGAGCCAGCTCTTGAAGAACCTCAGCTGGACTCTCACAAGCCCAGCCAAGCCCAGAGCTGCTGGAGGCTTTCTAAGGGGAGGATGTTTTTACCGATGCCCCATGTCTTTGTGAAATATCTTTGTTAAACCAATAAGTGTGTAACCTCAGAGGGCAGGGCCGTGAGTAGGCTCTTTGAGGAGAGGCCCTCTTTGGTGAGCTAGGGACCTGGTGTCCTGGAACAAAATGCAGAGAAGGCCCTGTAGAGGAAGCTGCAGACCTATGTGGTTTAGAGAGTTCTGGGAGATTGTCTCTGGCAGCAGGACCTCAAGGTGGCTGGGAGGGGCTGTTCATTATGATGATGTCTTTCTGTTTGTCTCTCCCTGCTGATGTAATTACTTCTCTGACCTCAGTGACTGATCTCTGTCTAGGCAGCTCAGTGTGTCTAGGCAGCCATGTGCGTCCAAGGTGATAAGAAGGCAGAAGTCCAGGTCCTGGACACCCCTAGCCACAGGGTAACGTTAAGGTACTTGTGAGTTACCCGCCCCTGGTGAATGAAAGCAAGATCCACCCAGTGAGGCTCTGCAAGTGACCTGTTGCCTTGGGACAGGTAACTTCATCCCCTGGGCCCTCCATTAACCTCCTATAAAATGGGAACATTGGTTTTAATTTTGAGGACACTTCTAGCTTTAAAGTTCAGCAGCCTCTAAGGCCCCAGGCTCCCACGAGCAGGAGCTATCCTCCCGGGCATCTGTAAATCTCGTGGAAATCCTGCTGGCGTAAAATCTCTTCTCTGGTAGCCTCAGCTTAACTCACTTATTTCAGAAGCTGAACTCACAAGAAGCCTGTCTGCCAGAGCGGTTAGCTGTGACTAAGAGCTGAGCCCCGGGTTTAAACGCTGCTCTGCCGCGTCCCAGTTCCGACACTGGCGCACATACTAGTTTTCTATTGCTGCTGAAACAGGTCGCCACCAACTGAACGACTTGACACGAGAACTTTATTGATCCTACAGTTCCGTTGGTCAGCAGTCTGACGTGGCCTCAGGGGTCAAATCAAGGCGGCAGCCGGGCTGTCCTTGCTGGAGGCTCGTGGGAGAATCCCTTTCCTTGCTCATTCAGGTTTTTGGCAAAACACGATCCTTGTGATGGGAGGACTGAGGTCCCATTTCCTCAGTGTCAGTTGAGGACCATTCTTGGCTTCGAGAGGGCACCTGTATGCCTCGGCTGCGACCCCCCTCCTGTGTCTTCAAAATCAGCATGGTGGGCCAAGTCCATCTCACTCTGTGCGTCTCTGTCACAGACTCTGCTGCCTTCCTCTTCCTCTGCAAGCCCCTGTGTGAATACATCGGGCCCACTGGGTAACGCAAAATAGTCTCTGTACCCTTAACCTCATCTACAGAGTCACTCGCCATGTACGGTTGCCTGTACTCACAGCACCTGGGATTAGGACATGGGCATCCTTAAAGAAAAGAGGTGGCCCTTATTCTTCCTACCGCAGCTGCTCCTCATCCCTCAGTTTCCTCTTCTGATAAATGGAGGCAGAGATTACATTTACTTTACAGCATGGTGTGAAGATGAAATACAGGTGACGTGTCAGAAGCACCTGGCATAACAACTAGCCATAGTATTTGCTCACTAAGTGGAAGTGGATGCAGAAACAAGGGCCAGCCTCATGGCTGGCATTCAGGGACTATGGTCCCAGTGTAACTAAATCGGCCCCTAAAAGGAAAAGAGGCCTCTAATTATTTCATCAGAACTAACAGCTGCTTTACAGCCCTGTTGGGAGAAACATTTCCAAGCCTTCTAAAGGAGCCTCTGCCCTGTCCCAGGTCCCCCTGATCCGTGCTTCTCAGTGTGGGCCTGGTTACACACACAGATTCTCGGGCCCTACCTCAGACCTGCTGCATCAGAACGTCTGGGGTGGGGCCCACTGCTCTGTGTTTAGCAGCTCTCCAGTGACTCTGATGCCCACTGAAGCTTAAGAGCCAGTCCTGTCTTTCCAGTCTTTAGCACTAGTTGGTGTCCACCTCACTAGATTGTGAGGCTCTTCCGAGGGGACCTCGCCTGGCTCAGCAGTTGGCAGCCCCGCGCCCAGCACGGCCCCTGCCTGCGGCAGTTCACACATGGTGCTTGTGGAGATGGCTGGGGGTAGGCATTAAGGCTGAAGCTATTCTGAAATAGAAACATGCCCACCAGTGAATTCCTTAAGTTTATTTAAGTTATGTCATGAAATAATTGGTATGTTAAATGCTTTATGTTCAGATTTTTTTGGCTTATTTAGCTAGCTAGCTAGACAGGTAGAGAGGGGTAGATAGATGTTTGGGGGACTGGTTGCGGTTTGTGGGTGGACAGTAACATGTCTTTGTTTCCTACCTAGAATCATGAAATCCAGGCTCGCACTATCTATAAATTTGTTCCTCAAAACATTTTCAAGAACTTGATTGGGGATGCCTGTATTTCTAAATCACCTTGTGGCTTTTTAACCTCCCCTTACATCTCAGGCGGATGGCAAGGAATGTGTAATTGTCAGGTTGGTTTAATGGTAGAACAGGAGTCTTCAGGGCTTCAGAGGGCTTTTGTTTTAACCCCCTGCTGCCCACTGCAGGACTCTTTCTCAACATCTCTCGTCTGTGCTGTCTCCTCTCTGAACATTTCCAAGTGATGGGGCGATTTGCACATTTCACAAGGCGACTTGCATTCCAGAGGTGCTGGCGCTTTGCACAGTGCCTGGCACATGGCGGGGAGAGGGGACACACTTTAGGGAGCCAAGAACGCCTCCCTCCTTGACTCTCATGCTGTCTTCGGAGATTACACAGAATAACCTCTTCCTTCCTGCCCCAGTGGCCCTTACCATATGTGAAGACAGTAACTGTCTCTGACTATACTTTTTCAAATAGAATAGCCCTGGTTTCTTCAACCATTTCTCCCAGCTTCTACAACTGTTTATTTTGCCATCATGATAACTGGAAGAAATTCATAAATCTGGCACCCAGAAGTAAAGATATTATTTCCCAGTTGGGAGTGAGCCCAGGACAGAGTACCCTGGACTGTGTGTGCCTTTGTCTGCTTGCTTTTCCTTAAACTGCCACGTAACGTTGTAGTCGATAGTGAACTTTAAACCCTCAGATCTTATTTTTATGTTTTATCATTCTATAACATTATTACCACTGCACAAATTAGGAATCAAAGTAAAATGTTGACTGTTTTAAGGTTATATAAATTGGCTGCAAAGGGGCGTTAGAACACAGGTCTCTCTCAGGACCACTAGAAAATCTCCCCAGCCTCGTTTTTACAAATGCAGGGTGGGACTAAAATAACTATTTTCAGACAGACTTAGGAGAATATACATACATGAAACATCTTTTACCTCAAAGTAGCCAATTTTGAGAGGTGGTGTGTATTTTTTATATCTAATCAGGTTGAGTAGTAGAAAAATAAAAAGTTAAGAAACTGCAAGTGAAATGATACTTAAATACATTAAAATAGTCTTCTGTCATGTTGAGAGCTCTTTCTATAAAAATGTTCATTGTTACGAAAATATATTTAAGGGGGCTGGCCCATGGCCTAGTGATTAAGTTCATGTGCTCCGCTTCAGTGGCCTGGGTTTGCAGGTTCGGATCCCAGAAGCAGACCTACACCACTCATCAGTCATACTATGGTGGCAATGCACATACAAAATAGAGGAAGATTGGCACAGATGTTAGCTCAGGGCTAACCTTCAAGCAAAAAAAGAGAAAGATTGGCAACAGATGTTAGCTCAGAGCCACTCTTCCTCAGCAAAAACAAGAAAGAAAGAAAGAAAGAAAGTAAAGAACATATATTTAAGCATAAATAAGCTGCTCATAATTCTACCATTCTGTTAACCACATGTTCCAGAATGTTCAGAAATGTTGATACAGTACTCTAAGCATTTTTTGTATGTGTGTATGTATGTACATGTATTTTTTTAAGAAAAATTAATAAAATTATAGCTACTTTTAAATTGGCTTTTTCTTAATCCATTGTTAACAGCCTTCCGTGTCTGTTATTCTTCATGGCTACATCATTCCCCACCATGGAATTGTACCAAAATTTACTTACCTTCTTGTTGGAGATGTATGTTGCCAAGTTTTCACTCTTTTAAAATGCTTATAAATCCTTGACTGTTTACTTATTTCTGTGATGAAAAGCCTATAAGGAGCACCTCTAAAGGAATTCCCTTCAGAGTCAACTGCAAAGCCACCCAAGGAAATCTGTCTGTCTTTCCTAAGGCTGACTTTGGGCTGTTATACAAGCTCCAGCATTTTCCAGTAGGCTCGCCCATCTTGCTCTGTGGACCTTTTTCAGAATGACTTTGGGCTGTTTCCAATAATTAAATCCACAGTGTCAGTGAGCCCTGATATGTTTAGAGAACAGTTAGAGTGGGGGCCTTCTGGTGACCTTGCATGTGAGTGTTTGGTGTGAGTGGATTGGAAAAGTCGTGGCAGTCCCTTTGATTTGTCCACCGTCTGGTCTACCCTTGACTTCCAGTGTCATTTGTGTGTTTAAAATGGAGGGTGTTTTAGACCAGGAGGAAGAGTTTCAAACCATGAGTTTCAGTTTGTTTCTTTTCAAATTCTAAAACAGATTTGCCAAAAGATAGAGGATAGATGACTACTAATGTAATGTATGGATTTTTCCTGATATTTCTGATTATAAAAAGAGGTTTGGTTCATTATAGAATATTTGGGGAAAATATGGCAAAAAGTGAGGAGTGCTGGGAGCTGCCTGCCTCCTGTGTGGGGGCCTCAGATCAGGGCCTGCCTCTCCCTTTCCACTTGCAGCAGCTCTCAGACCCAGGCCCTGTCTAACTTGAGTGTGTAAATCATCCTTTCTTCCCAGAAACCTCTGGGCGAAAGGAACCAAGCAGGCTGCCAGGCTGGGGCCTGGCTCACGCTGCCTGTGGAGACAGCTGTCAGTCCCTTCCCTTCACTCGTCTGGCTCCAGGCAGAGGGTGTCGCAGGGTGCTCAGAGTGCCAGCAGGAGGGCCCGGGGCCTCTTCCTGATCTACCAGGGTACAGAGACCTCAGTTCTCAATCTCTCAGAGTTAGGGAACAAGAAGAAAGTTCCCTGGAGAGTCAGGTGCTCAAACCCAGAGGGTAGACAAGCCTGTCTGATTTAGGGCAGGAGTCTGTGTGTGGCCGGGCGAGGGGGCCAGAGTGAGGTAGGAAGGGGTAACATCCACCACTTTCCCATGACAGACTGTCCAGCACACACTCGTTTTACCTCACCTGATTCCCACAGTGCCAGGAAGCACCTGTGCACCTGCCTTTGTCACAGGTGAGAAAGTGAGGAAGCACCTGTGCACCTGCCTTTGTCACAGGTGAGACGATGAGGAGCAGCTGCCGAGGCAGAGCCACACCTACACCAAGTCTTCGCCCCTCCAGGGTCCACGCTCTTAGTCACTGCCTTGAGCAGTGGCCCGTCCTCTCCTTGCAGGGTGTCTGTGGCAGCTAACCCCCCAGGAGGGTTAACACAGACACAGGGACATTGGTAGGCTGTCTGTTCAGAAGAAGCCAGCTGGAAGTGGGGGTTACTCAACTGCAGCAAGGCTAGGCCTTTCCTTCCTGGGTCCCGCTTGTCAGAAAGTCACCGTCTTTTCCCCCAGGCGTGAGTCACTCCAGGCTTTCTCCTGTGGGCAATGCTTGACCCTGCCCTTTCTACTTCTCAACCCTCCCTGACCTTCATCAGCCAGTTCCTGAGCAGCAGATGACCTTCAAAGATGAAATAGGACATTCCTAACCTAGAGGAGGGTGAGGCCCACCCACCAAGAGCCCCATCTGTCTGCCAGGCAGGGGTCCTGGCCCGTGGGGCTCGGGAGAATAGTATGTGGAGCATCTTGGTTTGGAGGAGCTCTTGCCTCCTTGCTTCAGAATGGATTCAGGGACAGGGGGCGGCGGGCCAGGTAGCAGACTTCTTAGATCTTCTGCTCATGGTTTGGACTTAGGTGAGTAAAAACCTCCACGGGGGTCTCCCTGTGGCCAAGTGGTTAAGTTTGTGTGCTCCGCTTCGGCAGCCCAGGGTTCACAGTTTCGGGTCCTGGGTGCGGACATGGCACCACTCATCAAGCCACGCTGTGGTGGCATCCCACAAAGAAGAACTAGAAGGACCTACAATTAGAATAATACAACTATGTACTGGGGCCTTGGGGAGCAAAAAAAAAAAAAGAAGATTGGCAACAGATGTTAGCTCAGGGCCAATCTTCCTCACCAAAAAGCATACCTTAAAAAAAAAAAAAAAAAGGGATAACTAAAATGTCGAGTTAAAAAAAAACCCCAAACCTCCCTGTGCCTTGGCTTCCTTAGCAGGTGAAAGGAGGCTGGAGGCGCTTCAGCCTCCCCCTCTTCTCCCCTGATGCTCACTGCTACACATCGAGGCATTAATGCAGTGGGAACTGGTCATCAAAGTTGCCTGGACCCCTCTTTACCTCCGCAGAGTGAACAAGGAGGTGTCCTCATCACACTTGCTAAGGGGAAGCCTGAGCTTCCGGGCCCGCTAAGCCTTTGCCTCCTGTTCTGCTGCTGAGTGCACGCCAGTGCCCCCAGAGTCACCCCTTTGTCTGACACACTTGGTGACGTGGCCCTCGAGGCCTGCTCAGCCAGCAGCTTGGGGTGGGGCCAGCAGAGTAGGAGTAGTAGCGGCTGTAGGAAGTCCTTTTCTTATGTTCTCATTTGGCTGCAGAACATTCCTGGGGAAGACGGTGCTGTCTCCACTGCACAGGAGTGAGCCCAAGCTTGGAGGGACTGATTTAGTCCAGGGCACATGGCGACTGTGGGTGAGAGCTGGGGCTGCCCGGGCACAGTTGCCTCAGGGCCCAGCTGCCTGGATGTCCCACAGCTGCCTTCTCACGGGGACTGGCAGCATCTCTTCAGTAAGCTGAGGTCTCAGGGCAGGAGGGGCCCAGGCACTGCCCCACCTGAGAGCACCCCTGGGTTCGTGACCCTGGGTTCTAGCCTGGTAGGTGTCATGCTTTCTTGGCCTGCTGTCTCTGTCTCCGTGTTTCCTGAAGCCTCCTGGCCTCCCCGCTCCCGGTTTCTGAGACACCCAGCAGCAGTTTCTTGGTTCCTGAAGACCCTTTGTGTCCCTCCTTCCAGGCTCTGTGACAATCACAATGGGAAGCAAAGGAAGGTTCGTCCTGCTCGGGCTCCTGCTCATCCTGGCTGTCCTTTGCCGTTCAGGTGAGTGGGCCAGAGGGCTGTGGATCGGGACCATCTAGGCCACCTCGCCCACAAACTTCCTTTTTTCAGGCCTCAGGAAGACTGAGCTGATGCCTCAGGCCTGGCTTTGGCTCTGTGCTTCCAGTGTTACAGGTGCAGTTAGCTGACAGCTCCTTCCTGAGTTACAGCCCATCCTGGGTCAAAGAGCTGCTTTTCAGGGTGAGGAGGGCACACTCAGCAGCTTGAGTTTCACCTCACTCACCATAAGCTGCTGGACTCTCCCTGAATGCCGTCTGTAGAGTGCTGAGCTCAGTACTTCTGCCTGGGGCTCTCCATTGTGCTGACAAGGATGCTGATGACCACAGGCGAAGCGGCAGAAGCTGGTGCTTACAGCTTTTATGCGCCGATCGCCATCCTAAGCGTCTCACGTGTATTTACTTATTTAATCCTCACATCAACCCTAAGGAGTAGGTACTCTTTTTTTATTACCATGTTGCAAATGATGAGACCAAGACCCAAAGAAATTAAATAACTTGTCAAATATCACACAGAAGTGGTCCAGTTGGAATCTGAACCCAGACAGCCCGCCCCTGGTGTCTGCTCTTAACTCCTTCCCTGGGCTCCTCCTGGCCCCCGAGGGAGCTGTGTGTTCCTGAGTGTCACCTCTGCAGAACACGAGCACCCATGTGACTTGCTTGCTCCATCCTAAGGGCCAAGTGTCATTTTCTGCCTGTGTCATGTTGGTGCTATGAATTTTTATTTTGTGGGGAGACAAAAGGAAGGAGCAAAGCAATGAGCAATAAAAAAGATAGCTGCCATGTGGAGCACGTCTTCTGCATTAGTAGCTGCCACGTAATTGAATGCTTATTATGTGCTAGGGAAACCCCACCTTATTTAATCCTTCCAGCCATCGCAGGAGGGGTCAGTGCTATTGTGCCCATTTTACAGTTGAGGAAACTGGAAGGAAGAAACTAGACCAAGGACACATTTGAATACCCTCTCCCTTTCCGAGAAAAAAGAGAAAGTGGGCTCCCCGCCTGCCCCATCTCTGCTCATTCTGGCCAGTCGGCTGAAATGTGGGTCACCTATGTTATGACGCGGCTTTGCTGTCTCAGTGCTTCGACCCAGAGAGTTTCCTGCCATTAGTGTAGCCTGTTTCTACTCAATTCCTGGCGGTCTGCATCTGTTTATGGAGCAGGCTTGAGTTTGGGTTCATCAGCTGTTCTGTGACCAGTCTCGGGTGCACTTCAGCCCTTCCTCAGAGAGTCAGAGTGTGAAGCAGATCCCCTCCACCCTGGCTTAGTAGCTAGAAAAACAACAGTCACTGCTGACTTCTTGCTTGCCCCTGACCTGGATCCCCCCACAACTGGTGCTGTTTCCTTCTCTTTCCCATTCGGGACGATTGGAAGAACGCCATGGTTAAGCCAAGCTTGGGTTTCAGAACTGGCAGCCTGGGTTGCCATCCAAGCTCCCTCCCTTAGTAGTTCTGTGACTTTGGACAAGTTAGTTAATGTCTTCATCTTAGTTTTCTCTTGAAAAATGGGGATGGAGACCATGAGCCTACCTCCTGTAACAAGTCTATGAAGACTGAAAGCCTAGCACAGAGATGCACAGATATGGGGACACTGAATGAACCTGCGAGCTATGGCTGTTTCTGCCCCACAGAAGTTCAAGACGCGACCTTTGGTTCCTCTGTCTAAAGATTTGTCAAGACGCCAAATGAGCTCCGGCTCCAGCCAGGAGAAAATGCACTCCTGTGGCAACCTTTCCAAAGGGCCTCACAGACAGCCAGGCTGGAACAGCACCCCCTCTTCCGTGCTCTCCTCTCACGCATGTGTACACACATCTGGAGCAGGGACGAGGCTGTAGAATTTGCCTCTTTGTCCCTTCTTATTCTGGCTCCCCTCTCACGCAGACATGGCAAATGCTGGCAGGAGGAGAAGAGGCAGGGGCCAACCGAGCCCTGTCCCCAGGGAGGGGCTGACTCCGGCTCTGTGTTTGCAGCGCTGTGGGTGTCTTTGGGAGAGTCACTGCACCTCTCCGGGCGTCTGCCTTGTCCTTTGTCTGCAGGGTAGGATTTTGGACTGATGTCTCAAGGGTTCGTCTATTAATCACGACCTGTAATGAGACTGTGTGCATTTTGCCTTTGGAAATGCCTTTTCACAGAGATGGGCACTGCCAAACACTGATCACTGGCCCATGAGAATATGATTTAATAGAGAATATTCATTGCTGGGAAGGCATTGATAGGATTCTGTTAGATTATCCTCTTGATAGTTTCCTTTTCATGCATCATTACATTGCAGATTAATCACTTCCAGGTGAAGGTAGGAGAAAGCTTTTTGAAATATGGCAGTTACCCTTGCACTTGCACTGGGGCCCAAAAAATACCACAGGAACTGTAGTTTGAGCTTGGAAAATGTATCTGCTGTCGATGTATGTGGGAACGGCCACATGCTGTGCAGTACAGGCTCCTGTCCCCTGCTCATGGAGATGGTGGGCTTTCCTCCGCTGCCGGGAGGGCGAGTCAGTGCTGTCTAGCAGGTCCTGACGGGTGTTCTTGCTGATTCTAGGTCACAGCCTGGAGTGCTACTCATGTATCAATCCAGTTATATCCTGCGATATCAACATGACTTGTTCATATAATTTCGACGCATGTATCTTGGTCAAAGCCGGTAAGAGCCTCCCCCTTGCCTCCCCTCTAAGTTTAACGGGATGGTGAGAGTCTGGGAAAAGATGCATGACCCTCTCATTCTCAGTGGACTTGTAGTTAATAAGTCAGAGCTACCATTTCATAGCACTGGTTGCATGTGGCACTAAGCATTCACCATGCATTTTTAACTTCACACTTCCCACCTACAATTTAGGGTAATCTTTTATTCTCGTTTGATAAATGAGGAAACTTGAGGTTCAGATTAAGCAAGAGACTAAGGTCAAGTAACCAACTCAGGGTCTTACGTGGGAATCCGTCTAATTCCAATGCTTGTGCTCGCTCCAGCTGCGCTGGCTCCCTCGCAGACTTCTGAGCACCTGAGCTTGTGGCTGGGAGGCAGGGATGAAGAAAGGAGGCGATTATGATGATGACAGAAGCCTGTTCAGCTATCACAAAGGACTTCATTTATACCTGTGTCTTATCCCGGGGGTACTCAATGCAGACAGAATCCTGAGGGGACTCGAGCTGAGGTCAAAGGGCAAGCAGGAAGGAAGGGGCCTGGAGGGAAAGGCGTTCCTGGGAGAGGCAACAGCAGGTTCCCGGCGCTCATGGCCTGGGGGTGGGGGGGACACGCTAACATCGTCATGTTCTGTCGGATCTGCTTTTTCCAAATTGGTTAGACTGTGGAATCTCCATCTCCATAAATCCCATTAAAATAGGATTTAGGAAATGGTGGACAGAGGAGAGAAACCAGCGAAGCCTTGCCCTCGTCTTGCTGGGAGTGGCTCTGGATGGAATCCATGTGTGGGAATGATGCTGGTGAGCGAGGCTGTTTCAGGACCTCCTCAGTGGATGTGGTAAAACCCCAGACTTACAGCTCTAGCAGATAAAACTAAGAACACCCTTGAAGATATTTCACTCTAGTACCCTCTCCCACAAGCTCTCCCATATCAACAAACGAATGCTGAACATACAGGCAAGTGCATAAAGGCTTGGGAGACCCACAGGCTCCAAACAACCTGAGCGAAAGGAGGAGAAGGTTAATTTCCCCAGAAAGGAGAAATCCCTCAATAAGTAAGGACAAACTAGAGTTATCCTGTCTAAAAAATAGTAGTGTCTGATAATTTGATATAAATTCCTAGAATGCAGCTAAAATTCCAAGCCCTACGTTTGAGATCCTTGATCCTGTGGGGACAGTTCCTCTGCCACAACTAGAGGACCACATTAATGTGTTGTTAATGTAGAAAGTGTAGTGAGGCTCCAGAGAGAATGTTGTCACGCTCTCCACAAATATTTGAGCACCAATTACATGCGAGCACAGAACCCTGGTTCCTAACCTTGCTCATCTGCGTCTCTTGGACCCCCACTACAAAAAGTATAGTTTTCAAATGAGAGAATAGAGGTGATAACACGTGTTGAAGAAGTATTAGATGAGCAATTAGGAGCTCTGCGCTCTGGGCTCTGTCCTGCCACCAGTAGGTTCTTTCTGCCTGTTTTTATTTATGAAGTGTCTGTGTTGGATGGCAGCGATGGGGAGAGGGAAAGACGGAAGGAGACTAGAGCCAAAATCTTTTTTTCCGGCTCTCAAATCCCATTGTTTCCATCAGAATTATTAAACTTTTATTTTAATTTGTTCCAACTTTATTGAAGTATAATTGACTAATAAAAAGTGTATCTATTTAAAGAGTATAGCATGATGATTTGATACACATACATTCTGAACTGATTACCATAATCACTCTAATTAACATCTCCATCACCTCACATAGTTACCTTTTTTAATGTGATAGGAACACTTGAGATCTACTCTCTCAGCAAATTTAAGTATACAGTACAGCATTTTTAGCTATAGTCACCAAGCTGTACATTACGTCCCCAGAACTTACTTATTCATCTTATAAGGAATTATTAAGTTTTAAAAACGATTAATGCAAACAAGAAGACACCCCTATTAGAATGACCAAAATCCAAAACACCGACACCACCAAATGCTGACAAGGATGCAAAGCAACAAGAGTTCTCATTCACTGCTGGTGGGAACGCAAAACGGTGCAGTTTGGCAGTTTCTTAAAAAACTGAACACACTCTAACCATACATCCAGTGATCATGCTCCTTGGTATTTATCCAAATGAGTTGAAAACTTATGTCCACACAAAAACCACCCAGATGTTTACAGCAGCTTTATTCATAACTGCCAAAACTTGGAAGCAACCAAGACGTCCTTCAGTAGGTGAACGGATGGATAAACTGTGGAACATCGACAATGGACTAAAAGGAAATGAGCTATCAAGCCATGAAAAGACAGGGGAACCTTGAATACCTATTACTAAGTGAAAGGAACCAGTCTGAAAAGGCTGCATACTGTATCATTCCAACTATATGACACTGTGGAAAAGGCACAGCTATGGAGACAGTAAGAAGGTCAGTGGTTCCAGGGGCTGAGGGAGGAGGGATGCGTAGACGGGGCACAGGCTTTTAGGGCAGTGAAACTCCTCTGTGTGAGGTTGTAATGGTGCATACATGTGTGAAACCCCATAAAATGTTCAACACCTAGAGTGAACCCCAGTGTAAACCATGGGCTTTGGGGGATGATGATGAATCCGTGTAGACTCATCACTTGTAGGAAATGTTCCACACTGGTGAATAAAATCTATTTTTTAAAAAGGAAATATGAATTTTAAATATTTTTCTTATTCTCATGAATATAAGTCCCGAAACTTCAGCTAGACATGTGAAAACAGCAGTTTTTAAAATACAGACACTCTGACCTTACAGTCAGGCAGATATTAACAGAGCATCTCAGTCCCCCTCCAGCTCTGATGAACCTCGCCTGGGAGAGGCAGGGCACACTGTCATAATCATGAGTCAGGGGCCAGGCACTGCCTCAGAGAAATCATTTAACTACTCTGGCCACATTTTCCGCCTGGTTGTTGAATGGGAATAGCCATCTCTTGGAGCCAGTGGAGCAGTTAGAGGAGAAAATGGATGTGATAGTGCTGGGCAGATTACACCTGGAAGAGAGACAGGGGGTATGTGTTAATTCAGCCACTATTTACTGGCGTGCTGGCCAGGTCCTGGAAGTACACAGCATGTACCTAGAATCTGGCAGAAGCCTCTGATGACAGTGCCAAGCGATCATTGCTGTCATGGCCCTCTGGATAAGGGGCACACTTACGGCTGCCTAGGACAGTTGGGGACTGTTGCTTGGTCAAGGTAGACTCAAGCCAAACCTTCAGAGAGAGTGGGGAGGATGTGCCAAGCAGAGAGAGAAGCTCCAACATTCCAGCGACTGTTTGGGGGGTTCTGAGAGCAGCCTTGATGGGACGCTCACCATCATACGGTTGATATGCAAATAAGATGATTCAGGTAAAGCGCTTGGCTCACTGCAGGACACAGAGTAAGTGACTAATTAGAAGCAATTATTAATAAATTACTCTCTGCTCTCCCCAAGCGGTTAGGCTTCCATAATTAAAATTCTGGTAGCTTTAATGCCTTCCTGATTCCAATGTCTGATTAGTTAGCATTACACGAAGCAGGAACTCGTCCTATTCCCCAGCATTCCTCTGTACAGTAGGAGAAGCATCCACTGAAATACTCATGACCAAGGAAGTAGAGCCATGGGAACACTCTCTCTGACCTCTGCCACTGGACTGAACTTCGGTAAAACCCAGTGCAAACACCTATCCCCTCGAAGTGGGTGGGAGGGGTAAACCTGCAGTTAGGAACTTACAAGTTCTGTTCCAAGCTATACATGAAATTGAATAAATTAGTTATAAACCTTAAATAAGAAAATAGGCATCTGTATTTTTCTCTTTCCAGCACAGAAAATAAGAAAATCATTCCAGGGTAAGGACCATACCTTCTCTATTTTTAAACCTCCAACGTCTAGCATGCAATCTTGGCACATGGATAGTTATTTTTAGAGGGAAAATCTACCATAACTCCTCTCTCTCAACTAACATTTTCTTTTTAACTTAATATAATTTTTCTAAATATTAAAAAATAACTATAAGATACTTGGCATATATGTTTTGGGCCTTTATTTTCCTGTGTGTGCAAAAACTGGGGTCATAATGGCATGTTCTTTTGGAAACTTTTCCTGTGTTACTAATTAGTCCAATGATTTTTTTTCTTTTTTTGAGTGAGGAAGATTGGTTCTGACCTTATATCTATTGCCGATCTTCCTCTTTTTGCTTGAGGAAGATTGTCCCTGAGCTAACATCTGTGCCAATCTTCTTCTGAGTTCTGTGTGTGACACCTGCCACAGCATGGCTTCATGAGTGGTGTGTAGGTCCACACCCAGGATCCAAACCTGTGAACCCCAGGCTGCCGAAGTGGAGGGTGCAAACTTAACCACTCTGCCACTGGGCTGGGCCCTAGTCCAGTGACTTTTAAATGAAGTTTAAAATATTTTAAAAATAAATGTATCTGATGGCTTTTTAAAAAATCTCAATCCATGCAGAAATGTATAAATGGAGAATAGTCCTCTGAGAAGGTGACACTGTTAAATTACTTGGGAATCTTTCCAGAGAAAACGAATGCACTTACCATTTTTAAAAAATGTTTAATGTCTCTTTTTCATTTATTTCTGCTCCGATTTTTATTATTTCCTTCCTTCTACTGATTTGGGGCTTTGTTTGTTCTTCTTTTTCCAGTTCCTTTACGTGCACTCTTAGATTGTTTATTTGAGATTTTTCTTGAGGTAGGCCTGTATTGCTATAAACTTCCCTCTTAGAACTGCTTTTGCTCTATCCCATAAATTTTGGCATGTCATATTTTCATTTTCATTTGTCTCCAGGTATTTTTTGCTTTCTCCTTTAATTTCTTTGTTGACTCAGTCATTGTTCACTACCGTTTTGTTTAGTCTCCACATATTTGGGGCTTTTCTGATTTTCTTCCTGTAGTTGATTTCTGGTTCTATACCACTGTGGTCAGAAAGGATCTGATCTTCTTAAATTTACTTTTCGATCTTAAATTTATTGAGACTTGTTTTGTGGCCTAATATGTGATCTATCCTGGAGAATGTTCCATGTGCATTTGAAAAGAATGTGTATTTTGTTGTTTTTGGATGGAATGTTCTATATATATCTACTAAGTCCATCTGGTCTCATGTATCATTTAAGGCCAGTGTTTCCATTTTGCTCTTCTGTTTGGATGATCTATCCATTGGTGTTAGTGGAGTGTTAAAGTCCCCTACTACCATTGTGTTACTGTCTATTTCTCCTTTTATGTCTGTTAATAATTGCTTTATATATTTAGGTGCTCCTATGTTGGGCACATAGATATTTACAATTATTATATCCTCTTGTTGGATTGTTCCCTTTATCAGTATGTAGTGCCCTTCTTTGTCACTTGTTACAGTTTTTGTTTTAAATTCTATTTTGTCTGATGTAAGTATTGCTACCCCAGCTTTCTTTTCTTTGACATTTGCATGGAGTATCTTCTTCCATCCCTTCACTTTCAGTTTGTGAGTGTCTTTAGGTCTGCAGTGTGTCTCTTGTATGCAGCATATATATGGGTCTTGTTTTCTTATCCAATTGGCCACCCTATGGCATTTGGCTGGAGCACTTAGTCCATTGACATATTTAACATAGCAATTGATGTGAATGTTCTTAATGCCATTTTGTTACTTTTTTCTGGGTGTTTTAGTACTTCCTCTCCATTCCTTTCTTCTTTTCTTGCTCTCTTCCCTTGTGGTTTGATAGCCTTATTTAGTATTATGTTTGGTTTTCTTTCTCTTAATTTTTTGTGTATTTATTATAGGTTTCTGGTTTGTGATTACCATGAGCTTCATCTATAATAACCTATGTATATAGCAATCTATATTAAGTTGATGGTCTCTTTAGTTTGACCTCTTGCTAAAAGCTCTAATTTTAGTACTTTTGTCTTTTGACCTTCATATTATCTTCATAGGTGGTTGACCTGCTACCTTTACTGTATTTTTGCTTTTACCAGTGATTTTATTGTTTTATATATATATTATTTTCTTATCCCTATTTGTGGTCTTCCCTTTTCCATTTAAATAAGACTCTTTAGCATTTCTTGTAAGACTGATTTCTTGGTGATAAACTCCTTTAGTTTTGCTTGTCTTGGAAGCTCTTTCTCTCTCCTTCCATTCTGAATGATAACCTTGCTGGTTAGAGTATTCTCAGCTGTAGGTTTTTTCCTTTCAACACTTTAAATATATCATGCCACTCCCTTCTAGGCTGTAAGGTTTCTGCTAAGAAATCAGCTGATAGCCATATGGGGTTTCCTTTGTATGTAACTTATTGCCTTTCTCTTGTGGCTTTTAGGATTCTCTCTTTATCTTTAAATTTGCACATTTTAATTATAATGTGTCTTGGTTTGGGCCTCTTTGGGTTTATCTTGTTTGGTACTCTCTGTGCTTCCTGTCTGTTTCCTTCCTTAGGTTAGGAAAGTTTTCAGCTAGATAGAATCAGAGAATAGATTCTCTGCCCCATTGTCTCTCTCTTCTCCTTCTGGGATACCTATAATACAAATGTTAGTCCCTTTGATGTTGTCCCAGAGGTCCCTTAGACTATTCTCATTCTTTGTAATTCTTTTTTCTTTTATCTGTTCAGCTTGGGTGATTTCTCTAGTCTTTTTTCCAGCTTGCTGATCCATTCTTCTGTATCATCTACTTGACTATTGAGTCCCTCTAGTGAATTTTTCATTTCCAGTATTGTATTCTTCACTTCTGATTGATTCTTTTTTTATATTTTCCAGTTCTTTGTTGATGTTCTGAGTTCATCCATTCTTCTCCCAAGATCAATGAGCATCCTTATGACTATTAGTTTGTATTCTTTGTCAGGTAGATTGTTTATCTCACTTTCATTTATTTCTTTTTCTGAGGTTTAGTCCTATTCCCTGACTTGGAACATCTTCCTTTGTCTCCTAATTTTGCCCCTTTTTCTGTGCTAATATCTATGTACGGGGTGGGTCAGCTATATCTCTTGATCTTGGAGAGATGACCTTATGTAAGAGTTGCCTTATGAGGCCCAGCAGTGTGCTCCCCTCTTGTCACCAGTTCCAAATGTTCCAGGAGTGCATTTTCAAATTTTGTGAGGAACTGCCAGACTTTTCCAAAGTATCTGCACCATTTTACCTTCACACCAGCAATGAATGAGGGTTCCAGTTTCTCCATATCCTTGCCAACACTTGTTATTTTCCAGTTTCTTGATTATAGCCATCCTAGTGGGTATGAAATAATCTTCATTGTGATTTGTATTCTCCTAATGACTAATGATATTGAGCATCTTTTTGTGCACTTATTGGCCATTTGTATATCTTCTTTGGAGAAATATCAACATTGTTTGCCCATTTTTTATTTTATTTTATTTTATTTTATTTTATTTTTGGGGTTTTTTTTGGTTTGTTTGTTTTTGTTTTGTTTCGTTTTTGAGGAAGATTAGCCCTGAGCTAACTGCTGCCAGTCCTCTTTTTGTTGAGGGATACTGGCCCTGAGCCAACATCTGTGCCCATCTTCCTCTACTTTATATGTGGGATGCCTACCACAGCATGGTGTGCCAAGCGGTGCCATGTCCGCACCCAGGAACTGAACCGGCGAACCCCAGGCTGCCAAAGCAGAACATGCGCACTTAACTGTTGTGTCACATTTTTCAATTAGGTTTTCTTTTTATTGTTGAGTTGTAAGAGTGTGTTATATATTCTGGATACTAGACTCTTATCAGATTTATGATTTGCAAGCATTTTCTCCCTTTTCGTGCATTGTGTTTTTATTTTTTTTTTCTTGCAGGGGAAGATTTGCCCTAAGCTAATATCTGTTGCCAATCTTCCTCCTTTTTTCTTCTCCTCTCCCTACCTTAAACCCCAGTACATAGTTGTGTATAGTTGTAAGTTCTTCTGGTACTTCTATATGAGCCATTGCCACAGCATGGCAACTGACAGATGAGTGCTGAGGTTCTGTGCCTGGGAACTGAACCTGGGCCACTGAAGCAAAGCATGCTGAACTTTAACTGCTGGGCCATCAGGGTTGGCTGTCTTTTCATTTATTTTTTGATAGTGTCCTTTGAAGCAAAGAAGTTTTTAATTTTGATGAAGTTCAATTTATCTATTTTTCTGCATTTTTTTTTAAACTCAGACTCTTTCCACATCAGCATGCACAGGCCTTATCTGCATAGACTTCCATTGTATGTAACTCTACCATAATTTCTTCAAATGATTTTTATTAATGGACTATTTGTCTTTTTGTCTTTTAGTTTCTTGATGTTAAGATATTACTATAGGGCCCATTCTTGAGCACATATCTTCTCCCCTTTTAGAAGTAACTTCATAGAGTAAATTCTAGAAGTGAGATCTGAATCACAGGGGGCATATGTTTGAAAATCTTGGTAAATCTCTAAAACATCAGTATGATTGCCTGTTGTCTCCCATACGCACACAACTGTACTGACTCTGATGAGACTTTGGTTTTATGGCAAAGTTCCCCTCAGAGCTGTATTATCATTTGCTTCATTGCTTCCCTTGACAACCCAACTGGGAGGCACGTTATTGCCCCGAGGTCTTCACTTCCACAGGATAAGTTCCGAGAAGTAGACCTGAGGGTTCTGAGGCAGCTACAGAGCTTTACCCACTTGCTTGCTTATGGTTGCATGTCTCCCCCACAGAGGTAGGAAGACATTACTACCAGTGTTGGAGGATGGAAGACTGCGAGTGGGACTACATTTCCAGTGCCTTAGGGGAGACCAAGCTGACATACGAATGCTGCCAGAAGGACCTGTGTAACACGGAGAAGGAGGAGAGCGATACAAGCCACTTGTCTGGGAGAACAACTCTGCTGGCAACCCCACTGCTGGCAGCAGCCTGGAGCCTTTGTCTCTAACTCAGCACTGGAGGGCTTCTCTGGAACTCCCTGTTTCTTATAAATAAGATAGTCCTTATTTCCTTTGGTGCTGCGTTCCAAAGGCTTTATATTTTCCATCTGCATCCTGTTGGGAAAGACTGAAACTAGCTTGAGCAGCTTGGATAAGACAGGAGGGGCTCAGAGACTTTGAAGACCAGTCCTGTTTGCAGAGAAGACCCGTTCAAGGGAGAAGGTTAAGAGTGAAGCACACATGCTTTGAGCTAGGTTATATGCTTCTTCCTCTGCTCTTTGCAGTGACAGCTTGAGTGGATTCTCTGCATCCTCAGTTGTTTCCCCGATTCTTGGCGTGGTTAGACAGGATATAATCAGTGATTTTTGGGAGTGGGGCAGGGAAGTTCTTTTCAACAGTCTCGCTCACAGGGAATGCTCTCATCCTCGCCCCTCACGGCCCCTGTGTTGCTGGGTAGGCACAATGAAGTTCCAGATGTGGCTGTCATCAGGGGCAATGAGATTCTCAATGCAGAGAGGCTGGAGTGACTGTCGTACTCTCAGCTGGAAGGTGTCTGGCGGCGAAGGAGGGAAGCTCTCCAGACAGCAGGGTATGGAAACACAGGGCTGTCTGTAAAGAAGTACCAGGGTCTGAAATCTGAGTTTCCCTCTGTCCCTAAATTTTATACTGGCTTTGCTATCTTTCACTAGAAAAACTTAACAGCATAAATTAATGATACATTAAACAGTCCCTCCCCTTTTTTAGTGGAATGGTAGGATAGCTCAGCTTTGTAACAAACAGTTAAAGACTGAGCTCTTATATGTTACGTGTAACTGGCAGTATTAAGTGTACTTAATTTAAATGTTACCGGTGGGAAGACTCTGCCTGTGTGCATGTGTGATGTACGAATGCCATGGGAAGAGCCTTTGGGGTTGCAGTCTGAGACCTCCAAATGCCCACATGAACAGCAGCTGGTCTGCAGGGATGTTTGACCTGCTGACATCCAGCTTGCTGCCTCCCAGCTAACTGGGCACAGACTGTGTAAAATACATTTGCAAGGGCTATTAGCATGATCACAAGTGTTGAGGCTTTCAGAAGCTCTACCAGTTTCCTAAAAAGTGACTCACCTTTTCAGGAGAGTAGAATTTTGCCTTTTTATTGTGGGTGTTGGTAAATAATCCTCAAGATCTGGTTGACTTAATGACATTTGTATTCTTATAATGTCAGCTGTATTTAATGGCATAGCCTGACTTTTGCAGATGAAAGTGGAATTTCTTGATTAACATTACTGTAAAACCCCTTGCTCATGCAATCTCTTAGACAAACTGGGATGAATGATGCCTTTTTGAAAATAAAATCTAATCAAATGAATGTGTGTGGTTATTGACCATAAGGATAACAGCATATGCAGCATGCCAATGGTAGCAACGAAGGAAGACGTCTTGGTCCAGACCAGTTTCCTCTGTGGATGCTATTACTTGAACATAGACAAATAGAGGCTTCCTCATCAAACCTAGCATTACCTGGTGCTCTGTGTTCCCTGTTGGTTCAATGTTTTTCCTTAAATGATCTTTAAGTTCCAAGACAAAATCCTAGGTGTGACCCTGTCCTCAATAGGACTTTCTCTGCCCGAGGAAGTATTGACAATGTCCACAGTCGCTGGCAGAGCAAAGCAGTGCATTTCATATTGGGCTTTTTAGTTCGAAGGAACAAGAGCCAATTTTGACTCACTTAAACAGAAAACAAATTTTGAGGAACTTTGATAGGGGAATTCAACCAGACTACAAAATGCCAGGTCTCAGGCAGTTCCAGAAGTCTCTGTCAAGATTCAGATTCCAAGGTGAGACTGTCTGACTGCCATCTTGGGTCCTGTGCCACTTTTGGGCCAGAGTACATTGAGAAAGGGGTCATTCTCTAAAGCAGAATCTGGGTGCTGCTAAATGGGGAGATGGGGAGAGGGCTGCTAGGAGTTGAAATCAGCAAGAGTCATATAAATGACCTTAAGCTTCAAGGTTTCTTTCTGCACAAAGTTTCTATGACTCATGCTGTAGACTGTGGGTTGGGTTTCTGGACCCAAAGGTGATACTGCAAAGGCCAGATGAGTGGAGAGTCAGCAGCCTTCATGTGACTTTACAGGAAATTTCATATTGGGTTCAGTATTGGGAGGTGGTAACCCCATTGGATCTTCTCTTTTCGGGGATGAGCTATGGATGCAAGGTACCCCCAGTGGGTGGGTCAGTGGAACTCATAATTTGATTGTCCCACTTAGTCTTGGAAGTACTGAGCTTCAAGCTATGAGTATATTCCCCTGTGTCCTTGCAGTCAGCTCCGTGACTCAACATCAGGCAGTGTGTATCCTGATAAAATACAAGCCTGGCCAGCACACATGTTTTGGACTCTGAGCCTCCTGAGAGTGTGCGCCATGCTTTATATGTCTGGATCTTCAGAGGTGGAGTGAGTTATCCTGCACATCATAAGTCCCTTGTCAGTGTTCAAAGACTACTAGCTCACATTGATTTTGTTGCTGGCAAACAGACCTGAACCGGTGTTAGCAGTTCTCTCTAAAGATTCTAGATATGCTAAGAAGGCACAGAGGCAGTACAGACCTGACATTCACTGGATTGAGGGGTTCCTTCTGGTGAGAGATTCCACGCTCTGATTTTACATGTATTTTCATCAGTAGTATCATCATCTCACTTTGCTTAAGAGGAAACTACATTTGGAGAAGTTAGCTTAACTGCCCACGGTCACCAAGGAAATATATTGGCAAGTCCAGGATTCACACTCAACTCCCCAAGTGGGCCCCTCGGCCGCCGCCCATTTTGCACACTCCTTTGCACACTCCTTTGATGTACTTCCATCTGACTTTGGAAGGAAGCCCGGAATGAGACTCAGGTGATTTTTGGTTTGAAGAAAGTGATTCCTACCTTTTCTTAGAACACAAGAAGGACAGTAGTTTTTTACTGGACAGTTAGGTTACCCAACAGTGTGAGCTTCACAGAACCTAGCCTTTCTGGAAACAGGAAATAATTTCAGAACACTGCGTTTGCCACAGTCTGTTTCCAAAAGCCCACTGCTTCCCGTAAATACTTTATTTCAGAAGAGTAGCAGTTAAGTGCGTGGATTTTGTAGTTGGGAACCTGGGTTCAGATCCTGTCTCCCCCACTAACTGACTAGGTCTCTGGACAAGTTTTTTGAAGCTCTTTGAGCTCTGGCTTCTGCATCTACCTCAAAGAACTGTGAGGCTCGAGGTCACGCATTTGTGAAGTTTGGCAGGTAGGACGTGGGCACAAGTCCAGGGTGGTTACAGCTACAGGGGTCTAAGACTCTACAGTGACCCACATAGCTTTGGGTGAAACCCAATGGCTTCAACATAAGTAGAAACTGACCAGAGATCTTTCTAAATTACTTATAGGATTATTCACCATAAAATTTTTATTTATCTAAACTAAAGCTTCCTCTTTATACCCACTTATATTATTTAGGAGTAAGATAAATGATCACAAGACTTAACTTCTGGTGGGTGAGGATGTTCTCCTTTTCCCGGCGGCTATGGAGGCCTAGAGCCTCTGGGAGGGGAGAGGGACAGTATACACCCTGCAGAGGGCAAGTGCCTTGAACTGGAAACTCAAGGTTTCGATACTGTGCAGTGGAAAGCTGCTTTTCTGTGATCAGTTTCCCTTGGGTTGCTGCGCTTCCCATCCTGGCTGTTATTGGCTATATGCAAGTCAACAAACCCCAGTATGTCGATCCCATGTGCAATCAATGCTCATGGTGGCTCATCTAACCCCACTCAATCTGGCTGTGGTGTTTGCAGATTGTACATCAGGCAGCCTAGAGTGTCAATACTGATAAGATGTGGTGGTCTTTACTGGAACGTAAGCAGCTGTCATGTGTTGGTGTGATACAGTGCTGTGGCCAGAGCTAGAACTTAGCATTATAATTCATAAACTCTGTTAGTGTAGAAAAAATAGAACCTGGCACTAGATTCTTCCACAGAGAGTTTAGTGGTCACAACTTGAGGGCTTACTGTGTGCCTGCACTATCGTAAGTACTATCTATGTACAAGTTCACTTCACCTTTGCCAGTAACAGTGAATGGTATTGTCTATACCCAAACCCATCAGAGTGTCTTCAAATTCCAGTCCAGGCCCATTTCACCGACCAGGACAGGCAGCCCAGGCAGCTCTGCCCTGGGATCCGGTAAGGTCTGTCCACGCCACAGATGCTTCTGACCCTTCCCATTGCTTGAACTAGTTTGAGAAAGTTTCCATTCTTTGCAACCAAACGTCCCTGACCAAGGTAACTACTAGTGTAAAGGACTAACTGACAATTGCTAACTAAACCACCCTTCTTAGGAGCTATAAGCAGCAGTTAAAAAACACTGAGGACTGGAATGGAAATAATGAATACATGATGCGAATACAGTAGCTTTGAGATTTTTTTTTTATTTAGGTTTACAATAAAATCTAACCACATCAGACCTTTACTTTAAATGCGTACATTTGCAGCATAGTTGTAAAGGTCCTTTTTCATGCTTCTGTCACTGACTGGCTCTGAGGCCTCGAGCATACGACCTCATCACTCTGGGCCTCAACGTCATCATCAGTTGTAACAAGGGTACCTACCGGAAGGGACATTTGACTTGTAGCCAGTCGGCATCTGTTCCCCCTCCCTTCTGGTAACAGAACCGTAATTTCCTTTTGGGGAACTACTTCTGCCCTTTAAGTACAGTCTTGGTGTGCCTGTTAATAAAGGCGACCTGCCCTCCTCTAGCCAAAAAGTGAGCATGTTTTCTCCTGGAATTTAAGTCTTGAACGGAGTTAGGCAAGGACTGAAAAAAATTTTTTGGTTGAAGCTGTGAGTGTCTCAGGAAGGCTACAAGTAACAACTCATCTTTGAGTAGCTAAATCAGACAGAGTTCAGTTTTCTCACATAAACAATCTGGAAGTCAGCAGCTGCTGGCATTGGTTCAGCTGTTCAACAATGTCTGGGCTGGTTTATTCATGATATTCACAGTCTTTCCCTCATGATCACAAAATGACTGCAGAAGTTCCAGTGTTGCATCCAGGTTCAAGGCGGGAAGAG